AGTGTAAAGTTTCTTTTTCCTTAGTGACATAGATTCCTTATATGTACAGATTTGTCAAATGCAAATGGACTAGACAGTGTTGATACTTACTGCCTGTATATATTGTATATACTTAATTGTATATAGTTTTTCTTATGTTAGTTGTAACCTTTTTTAGTATTAGACAAAAAGGGGGAATTCTGGTGAACTATTTATTAGTTATGATTTATTAAAGCTTTCACTCAGGAGGCAGAGGCAGAGATAGAGGCAGGCTGATCTAGGCCAGCCTGGTCTACAAAGTGAGTTCCAGGACAGCCAGGGCTATACAGAAAGCCTGACTCAGAAAAGTACAGATAACAACTTCCCAGATAGACTTACTCTGTAGCTTCACACCCTTTGTAGTTGTGCTTGCTGAGGGCAGCCTTTTCTGACTCCTCATGTTCAAACACCATCCCAGATAGAAGCTTGCTCTGTTTTTAGAAAGTTGTTGGTTGCTGGAAAAGTGTGTTCTCATATCAAACAAAAATGTGTTGCTTCATAATTCCAGTTACTTCTGCACCAGCACCACAGACAATGAAGCTACTTGCTTGTTCCCAGATGACTGTCTTCCCCTACTGTGCTGGCTTTTTTTGTTAATTCCTTGACAAGTTGGAGTTATCTGGGAAGATTAAACTGAACTGAGAAAGTGCTTCCATCAGATTGCCTCTAGACAAATTCTGTAGATATTTATTAATGATATAGGAGGGCCCAGCCTACTATGGGTAGTGGCACCCCTGGGCAGGTGGTCCTGCGGTATATAAGAAAACAACTGAGTAAGCAAGTAAGTAGCATTCCTCTTTAATTTCTGCCTCCAGGTTCTTGCCTTGAGCTTCTGCCCCAACTTCTTGCAATGATGAACTGTGATGTGGAAGTGTCAGTCAAATAAACCCTTCAACCCCAAACTGCTTTTAGTCATGGTGTTTTATCGCAGTTGTAGAAACCTTAACTAAAACACCCATTATCTGAGAATAGCTATCAAATGTTGGCATTCTCTACGTTGTAAGCCGGAGAGTTCACCCATCTAACTACCATCTATATCATATTACAACTTTCTTTTGCTTTTTCAGCCTGCATTTTATTGCTCATATAGTTTGTTGGTGCAGAGTTGCACTTTTATAAGCAGACATTTACATACTAGCTACTGAATTTAGGTGCTCTCTCTCTCCCCAGTCTCTGTTTGGTACATTGGGATTTTAGATTTGAAAGCACTGCTTTGCATTTCTCTTCATTAAATGTAATCTTCCTTGAATTAGCACATTGTTCTAGCGGTGGGTTCCCTTAGGTCTATAGGTTGGCAGGTGTCTATTCTTGCAGTTCCTACGTTTGTGTAAGCTGTGGGTTTGATTAGTACCTTCCCAGAACTCTATAAACTCTTTTCACTCATGAGCCCTTTTTGCCTGGGAAAATTTTATGTGACTTTAGTTAGTGCTTGTAGCTATATAAAATAGTTTTGTAATCAAACTTTTACTGTTAATAAATCATAAGTATACTTAAATCTTTAAAATGTATTTTTATTTTATATGTATGGATATTCTACCTGCGTATACGTCTGAGTACCACGTGTGGGGAGGCAGAAGAAGGCATCAGATCCTGGAGTTACAGATGGTTTTGAGCTGCCATGTAGGTGCTGGGAATTGAATCAAGTTCCTCTGGAAGAGTAGCCAGTGCTCTTATCCACTAAGCCATCTCTCTGGCCCCATAATCATAACTTAAGAATTCTTTGCTGTTCATATAACCTTAGTCATTTATTAAAGATAAAAGAAAAATTTTAAACTAATGAGATGAGTGTGCTTATTTTATTTTTTACATAGAAATTTACATCTTGGCCAAATGTTTAACCTGCAGGTGTAGTAGCATCTTCAGTGTTTTTAAGAGTTAATTGATATTTCAATTTTATAACCAGTGTTGAGAATGTCTCCTTGCATAAATAAGTACGCAGTGTAAATGTCAAGGCTAGTTTTTAGGGTCATTTCAAAAGCTGCTGGAAAGTGTCATAGGCTCAAGCCAAAAATCTTCTGAATTTATTTATTTGATTTAGGAATTAGTCAGCAACGTGTAAAAGTGCACTCCATACATATAATAATAGTCTGGGACCCGTGGGCTGTGAAATGATGGTGAGATAACACTTAAAAACATTCTTTTTTCCATAATTAGAGACAGCTTTGTTTAAGATCAGTGAGTACAAGTGTGCACTTTTGGTTAGGACCAAGGTTGTAGTGAGATCACCTGACTTTGCTGTAGGAAAGACCTCAGACTTGTATGCATCAGGTTTTGGATTAAGACTTCATGGTTGCATGTTCAGAACCTGTGCTGTTGACAGATTTTTCATAACTCACATTTGTTTATGAATCCCAGCCCACAGGTTTGGAAGCTGGGTTCTAGGCTTGCTGTTGAGTGACTAACTCCCGTGGGGACTGATGACCATTGTGTGCAGTGGGGCTGAAGTCCATCCCTTCCCCAAGGGTCTCTCTCTCTCTCTCCTTAGGAAAACGGGAGCAGACACTGGTTTTCTAGCACCACTTCTTTACCTTTGGTTATAAAAGCAGACTACTATGCTAGGACTGGAGTACTGGCTCAGCAGTTCACTTCCAGAGAACTTGGGTTTGACCATCCACATGGCAGCTCACAGTTGTCTGTAACTCAACTCCCAGGGAATCCAGCATCTTCTCCTGGCCTCTGAAGGTACCAGGCATGCACATGATACATAGACATACATGGAGGCCAAATACCTGTACACACACACACACACACACACACACACACACACACACACACCAATAAATAAATAAATAAATAAACAAACAAACAAACAAATAAATAAATAAATAAATAAAAGGAAACCCAGGAAGCAGACAGACTTTGGGCTAGAGAGATGGCTCAGCAGTTGGGAATGCTTACTGTTCTTCCACAGGACCCAGGTTCGGATTCCAGTACTTAGCTCACAATCACTTGAACTTCCAGCTTCAGGGAATCTGAAACCCTCTTCTGACCCCCAAGGGTTCCTGCACACATGTGGTTCATAAAACCTGTACAGGTGCACGTGCACACACAAAAATAATAAGTATTAAAAGAAAATAGAAAGACTTTGGTGTCAAAATTCTAATTCAGCTTCAGACTGTAGTAAGCCATTTCCCTAGTGGAACACTCCTCTAAAATATGTGAGGTCCTCATTTCAAATCCCAGCATGGCAAACAACCCTCCCTGTCCCCAAAATTTCAACATTTGGCAAGTAGTAGCAGGATAATCAGGAGTTCAAGTTCATCCTCCATTTCATAGCAAGTGCCAGGCTATGTGAGACCCTGTGTCAAAAAGAAAAAACAAATACAAGAAAGAAAAGCAAAAACATTTTCTGTTTATTAACCATTAACTTATTCACACATTTCTCTTTACCATGTTGTAAATATATGGTGTGTCTTTCTATCTCATTTTTAACTTAGGAATTTAAAAACTGATTATTGTTTGAAAACAATACTTATTTAAGACTGGGGAATGGTTCAGTTAAAGTGTGCAAGCATAAGGGCCTGAGTCAGGGTTCCCAGCACCCATGTAGAAAGAAGGGTGTGGCAGTGCATTCCTGTAACTCCAGCACTAAGGCTGGAGTGGGGAGGCAGCTGAGGAGAGCAGACACCGATTGTCCAGCCTATGAGTGTCACCCAGGGACCCTGCTGTACAGGAAAGATACCTAGTCCTCACAAGTACATGTGTCTGTATACCACACCCACAAACCCTCCATAACCGTTCTAATGCTAGAATAACCCTGTATTTGTGACTCACCCATAGTAATCTTTTTCTCCATCAGCCTTTTAGGTCATCACTTTCCCTCACCAATTCTGAGGAGTTTCTTTATGCCAAAAGCCTTTTTCAGAATCTGTCATTACTGTGTAAGGATTAGTTCACTAAAATCTCAAGTTCAAGGCTGTGCATGCTTTAAAAACTGGATTCTTTCTATTGATAGATGATAGCAAATAACACAGAGGGTCTGGCCCTTTTCCATCTTTTGTGTTAATCCTGGTTTTGATTTTTTTGTTTGTTTGTTTGTTTTCTTTTGTGCTCTGAATTGGATCATTAAGTCCTTTTTCGTTTTAACTTTTACTCCCCAAGTTCAAGCCATATTTGAATTTTACATTCACAAACTGTAAATGTTCTCTTGGACATTGGCAGCTTGTGATGCTAATTTAGTGATGGCCATTTAGCTGTAAGGTAGGGGAATGGAGGAGGGGACCCTGACTAGTTCTGTTTTCAATTTTTGCTATTTCTTCTTGTAATATTTTTTTCAGACACCCTTTTTAACTGGAATATATAGCTGTCAGTTAGGGTCTCAACATCTGTCACTTAGATTATTAACAGGATCATACTTCAGCTAGCTCTTTCAGTTTTAAAAATAATGATTCTCATATTAGCATTTTTATAGTCTGAAATATGGGATCTTTTTTACCTGTTTCTTTTTAGTTTCTCCCCACATTTATTTTAGCCCCTCTCCACATTAATCAACAAAAACTTGTAGGAATTCCCAAGACCAGCTTTATTTTAAATCTGCTACTTATATATTAACTACTTTATCTTTTTAAAAAATGTTAAGTAGATTCTGAACTCAAGTATGTCTTTTTTCAAAACATAATTTACTTAAATTTATTTTATGTGCATGGTATGAAGGCGTCAGATCCCCTGGAACTGGAATTACAGACAGTTGTGAGCTGAGAATTCCAGGTCCCCTGGAAGAGCAGCCAGTGCTTTTAACCACTGAGCCCTCTCTTCAACATCTAGTATGTCTGAAAACAATGTACTTTATTAAGTGTCACCGCCTGAGTTCAAATACCTATTTAAGCATATGTAAATGAGGGGGAAGACCCAGGCATGCCACCCCTAGTACCTCTTTGTGCCATGTCCAGAGTGCTTGCACTATACAGATGCTGCAGATACTGTGGAACACATGCTCTTTGCTGTATGTATTTTACAACTATGTCTTATTTCATTTATTTAAGATCTGGACGTTGGTGGTTGGCTATGTGCTGATGGTTTCATTCAAGTGGAATGCAAACACTGAACACATCTTGAGAGCAGTTTCGATTCCAGTCTGGATGATACTTCTTTTTCATATAGGTGAGTCCTTTCTTCTTCTTCATAGAACAATCACCCAATAACCATGGTTTGAGGCCAGTAGAGGCTGACCAATGAAAGTGAGTTCTTTGTAGTATTACATGTTGCATTTAAAATTCTTCAACATAATGTATTGAAAATGCTAAACTTCACTAATCTTCAGTGAAGATGCTCTGCTTTCAAATGTTGATCTTTAAGTTCCTTATGCATTCTTTTAGTAAGTCCTTAAAGAGTAAGTGCCTCTAACTGCAGTTGTGTGACCCTCTTGCTCATTTTGCTTGTAGCAGAATTGGGGAGGGGATCGATCAGCACCTAAGGATAAGAGGAGCTTGGGTCTTGTTGAAGGACTTGGAGAAGATTTTTGCTCTGGCTAAGTGGAAGGGCCTGGGACAGGAATGAGGGAGGATGTTGGGCAATAAGAGAGCATGAAATACAGAAACCACTTCCATCCTGTGGAAGAGTGGCTTATGCAGATCTTTGATCATGAGGGAGAGATGCCAGAACTTCTGGAGGCACCAGAAAGACAGTTCACTGCAGCAGAGGTGTTCTGTGTCAGGGCAGCTCAGAGTCATGAGTTTCCTGTTCTGTGAAGCAGCTCACTGTTAGCAGCGAGTGATGGTGGTGATGATGATAGTGGTGGTGATGCTGCTTAATGCCCTGAATGGCTTTTCAGCATGACTCACGTGATTGGGCAAGACATTTCTGAGTTGATGGGAATAATAACTTCTAATTTAAACACAAAATAATTGAGCAACCTAGAGGAGCAGGTAGCTGAAAGTAGCTTTTAAAATTAACCCTTTTTGTAAGTTACCTGCCCCCTCCCCACCAAGAAAGCAGCAGTTAAGCCTAGCTGACTGAAACTGTCTCTGCTCAGGGTCTGATTTTAAGAGGGCAGTAGGCTGTAGGCTTGTTGAGTTGGCCATGAGGTTTATCTGCAGGGTCCTTGGTGTGACACAGGTTGTGTCTGCAGAAGGCAGAGGAGGGAATCTCATGTGAACTCAGGAAAGGCAGATGCTTAGGGGCTTAACTGTGTACTGTGGGAGCTTTGGCTGCAGCCTTTGGGTTTGTTGGGCTCCTTTTTGAGACTAAGTTCAAACCTAGTGCCATTTTCAGAAAATTAGGCTGCCTCCCAGTGCCTGACTCTGTCCTAGTATCAGGTGCTGCATAGGTTCAACTTGAGTTTGGAGTGACCTGTGAGGGGTATGTGTGTGGGTGCTTGTAGTGGACTGGGGATTGACCTCTTAAGGGTAGGCTGGCACATGCTTGTTTCTTTGAGAGCAAGAATGAAGCTGTCCTTGTGGTGGAGTTTACCTGCAAGGGCCTTTTTAAAGACATTTTTCCCTATGAAATAATTGCTTAATTAGAATGTATATCAAATTGCTCTGTTAACTAAAAACATTAATTCTTAATAATTTTTAGCGTCACTGGCTGGCTCATGGAGAATTCCAGTGTTCCTGGTTATTGTTTTCCTGATGTCTGTGGGCACCCTTTATGAAAAACAGAATGGGAAGGAGTCTGCTGGTAAGAAATAGTCTATTGTGAATATATTCTTAGTATTTTGAGTGGTTGACTAGCTCTGTTGCTATGATAAACACCGTGACCAAAAGTAACTGAGGAGGAAAGGGTTTATTTCATCTTATGACTCTCAGGTCAAAGGTCACACTCCATCACAAAGAAGTCAGGATAGGAACTCAAGGCAGGAGCTGATACAGAGGCTGTAGTGAACTGGCTTGCTCTGCTTGGCTTCTCAGCCTGCATACTCATATAGCACGTAGGGACCACCTGTCCAGGAATCCCACCCGACAGTGAGCTGCTCCCCCCTCCCCCAAATCATCAGGAAAATGTACCACAGGCCAGTCTTGTGGGGGAATTTTCTCAAGGTTCTGTCTTCCCAGATGAATCTACTTTGTGCCAAGTTGATATAAAACTATCCAGCATGATAACTTACAAAGGAAAACAAAAACAAAAAACCAAGGCCAAATCTCTTTGAATATATTTAAAAACTTGAAGTAGTTTCTAAATAGAAAATCAAATCTAAAATGTTCTAGGCTTTTTTTTTTAAGATCGTGTTCCTATTTTGTATCTTTTTATTATTAGCCACCAGCTATTAGAAAATGGTATTTAGTACTTCCCCAGTGTTGTGTATCCATCATCTCTATCTAGTTTTACAATTTTTTTTTATCACTCTGAAAGGAAAACCTGTACATGGATTCCCGCATACAGATATAATGCGTTCGTTTGCCTGTTAGACATTCACAGATGATTGCCTTGTTTTCATCTTTCGAGTATTGTGAATTGTGCTGCTATGAAGCATTTATGTACAAGAATCTGTTTATTCATTTAAAAATTTTGAGACTCAACTGTGTTTAAATTGATACATAAAAACAGTGTACATATTACAAGGTGTCATATAATGCTCCAGTATATGTATGCTATTCGAATTTTGAATATTCACCTTAGAACAGGATTCCTGGGTCGGGAACCATGAGACTACTTCCACGGCTGCTCAGCGGCTTACACTCTTACACCTTTGATAATGTTTCCTGATTGCTTTTCCTTTTTTTCTTTTAAGATTTATTTATTATGTACACAGTGTTCTACCTGCATATATACCTGCACACCAGAAGAGGGCACCAGATTTCATTGTAGATGGTTGTGGGTCACCATGTGGTTTCTGGGAATTGAACTCAGGGCTTCTGAAAGAGCAGCCAGTGCTCTTAACCTCTGAGCCATCTCTCCAGCCCCTGATTGCTCCTGATAGCACCAGTCCAGTGGGTGTGAATGGCTTCTTCCTGTGGGTTTTCTAATAATTGCTGGTGCGAGCATCTTTTTATGCATCTGCTGGCCATTTGTTTATCTCTTTGGGGAGATGTCTGTTTATGCTCTTTGACCTTTTAAAAATTATGTTGTCTTTTATTGCTGAGTTGCTGAATTCTTTAAATATCTTGGATACTGAGTAGATACACACTCAATAAATAGTTTCTTCTATGGGTTTTAGGACAATTCTTTTTCCATTTTCACATAATAGTCTATTGAGTTTTTGATAAGATTGTTGAATTTGCCACACACCTTTAATCCCAGCACTTGGGAGACAGAGGCAGGCAGTTCTCTGAGTTTGAGGCTAACCTGGTCTACAGAGTTAGTTCCAGGACAGCCAGGGCTATACAGAGAAACCCTGTCTTGAAAATCCAAAAAAAAAAAAAAAAAAAATATATTGTAAGATTGTTGAATTCATAATTTCACAATTTGTGCTTTGGAAACATTGCATTTCTCTCTCTCACGCACACACTCACCAGTAGTCAACATCCCAGTTCAGTTCATGAGTATGGAATGTATCTCCATGTATTTATTCTTTAATTTCTTTCTATCATAATATTGTGCTTTCAGTTAAGTGTTGTGTCTTCTTCTTGATTTAATTTATTCCTTATTATAAATGAAATGTTTTCTGAGTTTCCATTTTGTATGATTCATTCTTAGCATATAGTTATAAATATGACTTTTTGTATTATACTGATCTTGTACCCTTCATTTCTGTTGAATTTGTTTCTTGGCATCAGTTTAGCTAAGGATTCTTTTACACTTGCTAAGTAATGGTTTCTTTTTTAATAGGTGTGTGTGTGTGTGTGTGTGTGTGTGTGTGTGTGTGTGTGAGAGAGAGAGAGAGAGAGAGAGAGAGAGAGAGAGAGAGAGAGAGAGAGAAAATATGCATGCCACAGGTGTGCAGGTGCCCACGGAGGATGGAAAAGCATGTCAAATCCCTTGGAACTGAAGTTTTAGGCAGTTATGAGCTCCTGACATCAGTGCTGGAAAGTGAGCTCTTGCTCTAGTGCTTGTGCTTAACTAATTTTCTGTGCTGCTTTAGATGATGCTCCCTCACCCCCCACTTGGGGAACACAGAGTCTTGATGTATATAGCTCAGTTTGGTTCTCCAATGTCACTACACTGGGCATCAACTTTAAAAAAAAAAACACAAAAATGATTCCCTCTTGTCACTCATGTGTTAGGCATATTCATACCAGGGATGTCTTTCTGTGTCAGTGAACATACATCTACAACATTATTTTTAGCATTTATTCGAGTCACAGCAGTATTTGACACTCTTGTACAGTGATTGTATGTCTTATGAAAGACTTTTTAAAGATTGTTTATATTATATTTGGTGAGTGTATCTGATGTACTGATTTCTTTTTCTTTTCCTTTTTGAGATAAGATCTTACTGTGTATTTCTGGCTATCTGGAACTTAATACATAAACAAAACTGGCTTTAAAATTAACTACAAAGAACAATAGTTACAGATCTTTCTGACAGTGGAAAATCAGGACAATTTTATTTCTTATTTTGCTGTCTTTCAGTCTCCTATTGTAGCCTGTCTTCTATGATGGTGCTTGAGCCCCAGGGCTGTGTGGAAGACTGGAGTAGTGCAGTGCCTGGTGACTTCCACTTGTCCTGCTTGGTTTTATCTTCTTATTTCTTTCCCCAGGGGTCAGTGATGCAGACAGCTCTGGGTACCCTTCTCCCTCTTCTGAGTTGGCTTCCCTTCCAGCTGCTCTGGTATAGGGTTAAGTCCAGGCAGTCTTATGTTTCTACAGGTTTCTTATCTGTGGATTCAACCATCTGAAAATGAGATGACATCTGTATTGAATATGTAAAGACTTTTTTCTTGACATTGTGCATTACAATACAGTAATACCTCAATTTTGTGGCATTTGCATTTTAGATATTCTTATAATCTAGACATGTAAGTATATGTGAGGTTATGTGCAAACATTGTCATTTTATAAGGGACTTGAACACCCACGAATTGGTACATATAGGAGGTCAACAACTGTTCTCCTTTGGTGCTGAGGACTTCCTGTATATGAGTAATACAGATCTCCACTAAAGGATTTCATGCCTCCCTCCCCTGCCCAGCTATAAATTCTAGCCACTCAGGTACCGGCACTTAGAGAACTCTGAGAACAAGAACTTAGGACCAGGTTTTGAGTGTGTGGGGAGAACGAGACTAAGGTCAATTATTATTTTGAGCCATCAACCCAGACTATGGTGTTCGTGTGCTATTCCATTCTGCTTAGGTATTGACTCTCACGGAAGGACATCACAGGGATAGAAAAAGAATGAATGAACATCTTTGGAAATAGTGATTTTCCTGCTTCGTCTACTCTATTCTGCATCAAAGCAGGTCACTGTTGACTTAGAACTTTTCTACACAAAATAGAGCTTTTGAATGCTTTTCTAGAGGATGTTTTTTCTTCATGTTCTTAACATTCTCTATAAATCAGACTGAAACTTTCTAGTCTGCAAGGGGGTAGCCCTCCCTCCTGTTGTGTTTGCTCCTATAGGTGGTGCTGTTCTGTGGTTGTTACAGGAATGCTGCTGTGAACTGCCTCGGCAGAGCCTGTTCTGATCCTTGCCTGTTCTTGAACTTTCTGAGGTTACCTGGGTCAATGGCTTGCTCTGCATCATTTGGGCTGTTTTAGGAGCTTTGAGATTCACAGCTCACTTACTCTCATAGAATTAGGCTTCTGGATTTAATTAGAATTGAAAGCCTAAGTTTGTTTGGATCCTGGGCCCAGAAACTCAGTTTATTTCAACAGTTCACTCTAAACTCAGAGACTCAACTTTTGGGCCTGGGGAACTCTTGGTGGTATTTCCTGAAACACTAAATAGTGTAGGGGAAAAAATGTTTTCTCCCACTGAAGAACAACTTTTTGGGGTACTTTTAAATTTTATTATTTATTTATAATCCAGTGTTTCTTTTTTTTCTTCTTCTTTCTTTCTTTCTTTTTTTTTTTTTTTTTTTGGTTTTTCGAGACAGGATTTCTCTGTGGCTTTGGAGCCTGTCCTGGAACTAATTCTGTAGACTAGGCTGGCCATGAACTCATAAAGATCCGCCTGCCTCTGCCTCCTGAGTGCTGGGATTAAAGGCGTGTACCACCACCACCTGGCTTTAAATTTTATTTTTATTATTATGTATAGATGTTTTGTCTTGCATGTATATCTGTACACTGTGTGTATGCAGTGCCTAAGGAAGCCAGAAGGGCTATCAGAACAGTGGAGCCTAAATGTGGGTGCTGGGAATTGAACCCAGGTCTTCTGGAAGAGCAGCCAGTGCTCTTCACCACTGAGCCACTTCAGCTTTTTGAGGTACTTTTGAATAGACTGTCTTTAAAATCCATAAACATCAGCCAAACAAACAAGCAAAACCCAAACAAACAAAACTCCGTCTGTTGATGAAGAGGTTTCATTTCAGAGGTGGAGGAGGCACCGCCGGTCACACAGGTGGGGCTGTGATTTCAGCCAAGGTCCTTGACCTCAGGCCCATGTTCTTTTCCTTTCCTTGCCACTTGCCACATTGAATACGCAGGCATTAGTCATAGTGAAAGTGTCAGCAACTCACCTTCTTGCCCCAGTTGGTAGTTGTCATGTTTCTTCTTCCACCGTAGCCTGGTTGACTCATCCTAAGTCCATCACGTCTCTGCGCGATAGAGACTGTTTCACTTGGTAGAACCCTACTGCCTTG